GAGAGAAAGAGAGAGAGGGGGGATAAAACGGGGGTTAAACATGGATACGAGATTAGGGTTTGAGTTGTAAAGTAGTCCCGGTCCTGAACTGAAGACAACCACCAGCTGACCGAGCACAAACACGGGATTACTATGCCCAGCGCCAACGTGTCCGTGCGAAGTTTATCCGAAGTAGAGAAATACCTCGGCAGCCGGATGGTGAGTATCCTGTCAGGGTGTTTTACAGCATCGTTGTGTGACAGACGGCAGGTCCCCGCACTGTACCAGCGACACATTGTTGTCTGTTGATCTCCACGTCATGTGAAACCAACAGCTGCGCCGTGTTAGAGCTGCACATTTTCTACCAAACAAAGGGCTTCTAACCCCCTGTGACACATTCAGGCTCAATAAGACTGTCTGTGTGTATCTGTGTGTGTGTGGAGAGGGTGTGAAGATGTCTTGAATGTGTGTAAAAACGGAGTCCTGTGTGCCAGATATAAAATCCTACCCGGGGTAATACTGGGTTTGTCTTCATATTTGACGAGATCCAAACGGGACAGTGGACCTTATTGTGTCGCCTTACATAGAAACTAAATATTATTGTCCGTGTATGTTAATCTGATGATCGATTATTAGATGTGTTGGTGTTTTTGGTCTATAAAAGCAAATAGAGTGGTGAGTTTATTTGGGCTTTAAAAATATGAATCAAATGATTGATCATTATCAAAAATTGTTTCCACTGAATTCCGCGCTGATTGATTTTCTGTGAATTGACTAATCAATGAGTCATCCAGATGTTTCCTTTTCTCGAAATTCACACTTGTTTTTGTCTCTTGGTTGTTGTGCCACCTTCATATAGATTTACACATAGATTGAAGAAACATAGAAATCCCCATACACTGTAATCCTGTACAATTCACTTATTTTCCTTTCTAGTGAAACATTTTGATGATCCTGCCTATGGTAATATCTTTATGCTGTAGTTTGTGCTGATGTTGTATTGGATTCTAATATTTGCTCTCCTTCAACTAAATAAGAATTTTAGTTACCAATACAACAGCAGCACAGCTACATACAGCCCACCATAAAGTAAAGAGTAATACAAAAACAACTGAAGTAATAGTCTAAAAAGAAACTGAAAGTCTCATGATTGTAGAGCTATAAATTCCATTGTACAGGTGTTGTTGTGTTTTCGTGTTATTTGAGTTTAACATGTGGTAGTGGGTCCAAACTCATATCAACCTTTTACTTATGCTGATATTTAGGATATACAGATGTAGAACGTATAATACAATGAAATGAATTCAATAAAACATAACTTTTTTTCCCTTTGTGGTCAGTTCCCATAGTGATTACTTCATTTTTTTTATTTACCACTACACAGATTCTTATAGTATCATACACTTAATGTAGTATACTAATTGAATACAAAAGCTGTAATGAGTAAAGTGTTAAAATGATGCTAAGAGGGGATTCAAATCACACAAAGAAATGTCCTGATAACTGTCAGACTCTTTCCTATTTAAATAGTTTCCTTCACACAGAAATGTAGTATTGACCTAGTCAAGTCAATTCAAGTCAAGTAAATTTTATTATAGCCCAAATAACAAATTTGCCTGAAAGAGCTTTACAATCTGCAACATACGACTCCCCCTGTCCGTAAACCATCGACTCGGAAAAGAAAGTACACACCCTAAAAAACCTTCAGCCTTACACAAACTGCTTTTGGGTAAAACCCATCCGACCATTTGCTAATGTTTATGTGTGACGTTCCCCTAAAATCCCCGAAAGGTTGTGCCCAATCAACCTGAGTATGTGATATTTAAAGACAGGTGCTTTTGGGGACAGTGACACATAGGAGAGGTATGCCTTGTCGAGCGAGAGTCTTGTGTGACTAGAAAGACATGTAAGGTATCGCACGGCAGGTTATTTCGCTTCCCTGTATGTGTATGAGTCTTCAGGCCTGCCACTCTTAATCACCTGTAGTCTTCAAAGGAGGCTGTTCTTCAGTCTGTTTAGCTCTTATTAAAGATACTTCAGATTAAAATGTAGCACTAGCTCTTATAAATGAATGACATTAATAACTTTTTTTCCCCTGGAGTAGAGCTTGAAAGAATCATGCACAAATAATTTGAGCCACCTTCTTGAGCAATTAGACGGTAGCCGCGTAACCACCAACACAATATAATGGAACAACATATCTGAAGATTTGGCTGGTTTATTACCACTGGACTGTGTAATTATGCCTTTCCTCCTTTTGTTGGACACAAATGACATTCCAGTTTTGTTCCTCAAAAAGCCATTGTGCAGCAGATATAGTGGGTTAGAGGCCAAAGATGACGCAACACCTCAGTTTCAGTGGCTTGTTTCCAGAAACCGTGTTTAACCCTCTGTGGTTGGACGTTCTTTGGAGATTTGCGTGCCGTTCCTCATTCGTGTGTCCAGACAAAAGCTAAACATATGAGCCAATCAATATAATTAGCAACTGTTTTATACGTTCTGTATTATATGAATCATTAAATGGCAGCCATTACCCTGTTTTTGTTCTCCCTCTCTCTCTTTTTTAGGTCTGTTGTTTTTGTAATGCCTAAAGAGATGCTTGACTCTTCACCACCCTGCCACGTCATTGGCTCTATTCACTCTCTCAGTTTGAATCAGTACATTGAATGTAGCTGCATATTAATCTTAATTGAATCCCATTCAATACTCTCCCAGTCCACGGGGGCAACCAGACGCTGGGAGTGTTAATGGGCTATTGATTTAGTCCTGGACCAGCTTGTCTATGAGATAATAGCGAGTACGTCTTAAGCAATTCATTCCACTCACCTCCCGGGGTTTTGTCATTCAGGAAACTCAAGACTTCAAACTCTGTTGCTAGTTTTTTTTCTCCTCTTTTATTCTGATGACTCTGCGAACTGTTTTTTAAAGAAAGGTTTCGCAATCAAAGTGTGGCCACATAGGCAGCTGTGGGATGCAGATGAGAGGGAGGGGAGGAGGAGACGTTGGGTCAGCTTTCTGACTACAATCAAAGATGTGCTCCCTGTCGCTCTCACTCTCCCCCTCTCTGGTTTTCTTCCCGTTTCCCTGTGTGAGCTCTGAGTGGGAGAGTGTCTGTATCCATGAGGATCAGCTGGAGGGAATACCAATAAGCACCACAGGCTTCTTCCCCTCTGTGGTTCTTTTCTCTGCTGAAGGGACGGTTTTGTTCCATCTCAATGAGTGTGCCAGTTCTATTGCCCTGTGTGTGTGTGTTTGTGTGTTTATTTGGGGTGCACAGGGGCAATGACAGAGAGAACGCTAAATAAATGCCACCCTATGTACCCCACACCACAGCTTCATTTGATCCATTTTACTGCAGATCACTGCGAACACCTGTGCCTGTATTTGCATGTGTCAGTGTGCCTGCCTGACCTGACCCCACACTGTGAACTGATGGTTTCACCAGATTACAGCTGCGGTTGTGAGTACTTACAAACATTACTTCCTCGTAGTGGGGAAAATGCCTTCCTGTGTCGCATGAGAAAACGTCTGTGGCTTTAATAACGTCCCCCCCTAAGAGGCAAGAAACCGGCTCAGTTATTCTACATTCTGCTAATCTGAACAAATATTTATTTCACTAATACTGCTCAGTAGTTAGTTCACACCCACTGCACACACACCTGGTTCTAAATTACTTATGTGCTTTCACTTCACTCCAGTTCAGGACTTAAACGCTGAATTGCTGTTTCCTCTGGTGCTGTGTTGGGCAGATGAGCGTATGGTCTGTTCTTTGCATGAAAAACTGAATCACTAACTAGATCATTGATCCAAGAGACCGCACACTGCGGCGCAACATAAGCAGCATCTGCAGTTTCTTTCGACGCCCCCAACTTTGCCCCCCAAAATGTAGTAAGAGATTAGGGCAGATTTCTCAGCACACAGCTCTCCGTTGTTGGGTTAAGATTGAGGTTAATGCAGTTGGATCTTTATGTTATGCTGTCTGGGGAGGTCAGAACATATTAAATGGGTCATAGTGTGGACAGACGCTGTGTGTGTTATGTAGGACAGCGTGGGGTACAGGGGGCTCATACAGGGCGGAGGTGTGAGCGGGACACCCTGGGGGCAAAAAGGCCTCCTGTAGATCCTGTTGGTGCAGATGATGATGATTGGGTTGATGTGTGCTGCTGTGCTGTGTTTGGGAGGATCCTCCCTTTGTTCTATTCCTGTCCCATTATCCCCTGTTTCGGGTTCTGTGGCTCTGTCTCTGTTTTGCCTCCCACTTTCTTGTCTGCCTCTCTTCTTCTGCTCTACTGGCATACTAATACCAATGGGTGAGTCAAACAGCAGTGGGCGTGTGGCGGGCTTGTTAACTTATAACATTTTCTCTCATTTATAGTAATACACCAAATTTTCAGCATATGATCAGACAGACGGGCTTTCACATGGTCCAGCTTTTGAATCCCAAAGTATCACAGTCAGTGAGCGCAAGTAGGAGGTCATGGATAGCCCCTGGTTGTAGATGGAAAGCCCATCTCATCAAACTCTACCCTCTGTTGAATCTGTGACCTCTCAATTAAGGACAGCCTGCCTAACTGTCAGACCGTACCGCAGCAATCTGCCGTGTTGTAGCAGCTTTTCTTGTAGTTACTGGGCTTTCACCCCCCTCAGCCCTCCCCGTCGTCTCCAGCCTTCCCCTAAGATCTTCAATGCTCGCACTGTTTCACCCTCCCACCTCAACAACCCCTGGAGAACGCCTGCATAAGTGTTTTGGGAGAAATGGAGTGAAAAGTAGGGCAGCTCCTCAGCAGATTTGGGAGGACATTTTCATCAGCGTGAGGCTAATTCATTTCGCAAAGTCACTCAACCAGAGAGACCCTCCGATTGCTCCAGCAGTTAGTCAGCGTGGGTAGATTTCTCGAGCAGCAGCGGCGATGGCAGTGGAAATCGGCTTCTTAAATTGAAATAATAAAATTTTTGCTGAATGTCTTATCAGGAAACGGACAGCTGTATGTCCACGTTTTTTGTGTGCTTGTGTGTGTAAAACATCTGGGTTGCGTTATTTGAGATATTTGAGCTGCTCTCATGAAACAGGCCTGCCAAAATCCATCTTGTTTTCATAAGAACAAGCTTACTCCCCTCATTCCAGCTGTGTAACACAATTTAGTCTTGACATTCACTGCTCAGATACATGAGGGTGAATATGGAAGTTGTATCGATACTGTTTCCAAACATGCCCACTCCTGTCAAGGTCTACTTCTTTGCCGCAGGCCTCAGCAGTGATCCTTCAATGGCTGCCAAGTCACAATTTGATTTGTTTTACACTCATCCTGTATCTATGATATCACAGTACCTCGAAGCAATACACTTCTGTGCTTTCTGTTTGGCCCCTGATGCTACAGAAGAGAATGTTGCATAACATTTCAGAGTTAGGGCTTGTGGTGGGAAGAGTGCCTAAGGAGCTAGCTTACTTTCAGTCCTGCAGAAATAGCATGCAGTCTAAGCTGTCTGGTCAAACAGGCAGCTCTTTGTGTTTAGCGTTTGAAAACCAAAAAGACTGTGTAACACGAGCAACCTACACACAAGCCTGCCCTACACTTCCTCTTGAAGAAGGAGGATATTAGGGCTTCTTTTTCTTTTGTATGACAAACAGGTTTAACAATAGGGCAGCGTATGTGTGAGCCTGATTGTTATGACAAGAGATATTGCATGCACTCTGAAAGGAGCAGGGTTGTGATTGGGCACAGAGCTCCTCAGGCTATACGTCAGGCCAGTGAATCCATATGCAGCAGCTCGCTCATCAGAGTCCTGGACAGAGCAGAGGTAGGACATGACAAAGTGTGCCTTTTTCTCTGCAAACAAAGAGTCCTGTGTTTCAAGAAGGACAGATGCCAGAGAGGGGGAGAGATTGGGATGAGGACAGAGGCTGAAATACCCCAGGCATGCTTGTAGAAAGCAGCGTGGCATTCTCTGGTTACACACTGTACATAAATAAGTGTATATTTTGTATGCACAGTGTAATTATTTGGGTTCGATGCACAGCAGTGCTGAGATAAATGCAAAAGCTATCATGGTAAGATGCTGATGTAATATGCAGTCATATTATTTACCATCTTAGTTGTTGTTGGTATGCTAACATTGCTATACAGCTAGGGCTGATGTGAATGACATTAGTTTGGCATTTGGTCATAAACCAAAGTATTGGACAAATTGAAATTTGGAGCACAGCTGGTGTTACAAGTCAGAGAGTCACCAAAGTTATTAGTATTCATCCTCCTGGGAACTGGAATGTCTGTGTGAAATTAAAATCCACTGCAAAATGACAGTCCATCTCACAGACTGACATTTCTGTCCCTAGAGCAAAGCTGCTAGCAAGGCTAAAAACAAGTATAAAACAGTTTCTGTGTTGCACATTATGGTTTGTGTTCGGAAGATTTCAGAGATGGCACATGTTCTTGCTCACTGTGTCGCCTTCAACAAACAAGTTTGACTGGTTAAGTGAGTGTGAGGTCACTGTGACAAATGGGAATTTACAAGTGTAACTGGATAACTTAAATCCATCTGGTTTGAAACAGGACTATTCCTGCTGAATGTGTCTTTGTTTTAGTCTAAGTGTCTGCTATATGTTGTCACTCAGTGTGTGTGCCCCAGTGTATGACTAGTCATACTTAATTACCCTATTGTTGATAAACCCTCTCTTGAGTTCCACCTGACAGTCATGTGTGAAGGAGTGTCAGTATGTGGTGAACTCCAGATGCATTAGTCAATTGTGAAGGTACTTAGCTTGCAATATGTAACTATGACGTGATGATGTGGAAATGCTAAGCAGGATTGAGCCTTAAGTCTGCTTGGGTTAGCTGGGATCTCTTTATTTGCTTGAAACTAGCAGTGTTACATTTGTTAAGGATTAGTGCAGCTTTGTACAGCATGTAGTGCTTGTTGTACAACACTTTGTATCAGGCGTTAGCAGCTTACACCTCCTATCATTGAGTGTTGTACTGTGATCAACTTGCAAGATCCGGTGGCTTGTTAGGCCACCGTTACATTCCGTTCTATTACACTTGAAGTGACACTTCTGCTTTAAAAATGCTGCTTAATTAAATTTGCTTTTGCTGCTGTCCTTAGTCTTCCTCTTTATTGAACTTCTTCAGGTTTTAGCTTAACTTGCTTACTTGAACCATATTTTTTGTTTCACTTCCTCAAATCTAAAGTAGAGAATTCTATTCTTGGCATTAAACTATTGACAGGTCAGTCAGAAACAGACTTCAGTGTTGAGCCTCTATCACGAAAATGGTAATTTACTATAAAAATAGGGACACTGTCTGAAAAAGGGATTTCCTGAGCCTAGCAGCCTTGTGTGACATCGCTGACCTACATTAGATGCGCACACTCCACTTCTTTCACACACATTAATAGCTTATATCTACTATAAACAAACAGGATTAAATTCTGGATTCGAAAATGTAACAGACGTGCCAAATAAGAGCATTACATACACCCAGATGGTATCACAGTGGCAATAGCAGAAAAGCTGAATAGAGCAGAAGCAAGGACTCACTGTGTAAAATTACTGTGCATGAATAACCAACAAAAAAAGCATTCAAGGAAATATTTTATTACTTTGTTCTTAATCTTAAACTAGAAAATAGGCTCTTATTTGTAATGTAATTGTACGCCATATTTTACTTTTTCCAGATGACCTGTTTTGCTAATTAGACAAATTTCAGTAGTAAAGTGTAATTCCTAGTATGCTCCATGTCTAATACAATATCTTTGTCTTTGTTTCTCCTCCTTATAGGACAGGAGTACCGAGGGGAGTTCTCTAAGCATCTCTGCATCGATGCGTCGGGGTTCTTCAGAGAACAATCTGGATCTGGACTTGAGTGATGGAAGTCCTGGTCCTGCTCTAGGCTTTGAGGTCCAGCGTAGTCGTTCTTGCTTGGACAGCCTCCAACAAAAGATACTGAAAATCACAGAGCAGCTGAAGATTGAGCAGACAGCGCGAGACGAGAATGTAGCTGAGTACCTGAAACTGGTGAACAGTGCGGACAAGCAGCAAGTAGGGCGCATCAAGCAGGTGTTTGAGAAGAAGAACCAGAAGTCGGCTCAAAACATTGCACAGATGCAAAAGAAGCTGGAGCAGTACCATCGAAAGATGAAAGACAATGAAATCCAGCAAAGCCCTTACCCTCACCCGTCCACTGTCAAACACAGCACCATACCCAGGGAGTCTCCCAGAGAGCTGCTGAGGGATATGACAGGCAGTGGCCGACACCCGACCATGGACAAGATCAAGACCATTGGACCAGGTGTTTCCCTCTCCCCTCCCTTTTTCTTCAGCAAGCCCAGAGAATTCGCCAACCTTATCAGGAACAAGTTTGGCAGTGCTGACAACATCGCCCACCTCAAGACCACTCTGGATGCTTCCCCACCGCTGCCCAATGAGAGCCCAGGAAAGGGACTGAGTAGCAGCACCTCGATGGTGGGCAAGCCTAAGTATCCCAGTGATGACGAGTGCTCCTCAGGGAGCGCTTCCATTTCAGCAGACAGTAACGGGAATCCAGCAGTGGCAGGAGTGTCAACAGGACAAAGTCAGGGTCAGGGTCAGGGTCAGGGTCAGCAGGCCGGGGAAGACGATGAGAGCAAACTGGCCTTGAGCCTGGAGGAGGTGAGCGAGATCAAAGAGGCCCAGAGCCAGCTGGAGGAGGATATAGATGAGCTGAAGTCTCAGTTCAAGAAAGAGTATGGCATCATCAGCCAAACACTGCAGGAGGAGAGATACAGGTATGTGTATATTACTCAGTATTTCATTTCATTCACATTATACAACACTAGGCCTAATGTCTAATGTTACTGTATGTCAGTTCTAAGGTTGAGAATAGACATAATTACTATTCATCTAAAACTGTAAAGAACCACAGCCCTTACAGATAAGTATTTAATAAATAGTCGATATATTTAATAAATAGTAATTCATCGTAATAACATCCCCTGAAGCACTTCTTATATAGTACGTTCAAATCTGCCTGTAAATAATAACTTTAAACTAATATTTCTGCATCCTCCTCCATTGACTGCCAGGTATGAGCGTTTGGAAGACCAATTAAACGACCTGACAGAACTTCACCAGAATGAGATGGCTAATCTGAAGCAGGAACTGGCCAGCATCGAGGAGAGGGTGACCTACCAGGCTCACGAAAGGGCCAGGGACATACAGGTATATAATCGGAAATCTATCCTATAATGATTCTTGATTTGGAAAGACCTTGCAGCTCATGTGTGTTGTTAGGGTAGGGTATCATATGTATTATTTCAGAGGTGATAATTCCATTAACATATAGAGCTGCATGTATTAGTTGCCTGTGTTTGGTTCCCATAACATAATCTAAGTCTGTTTTCTTTTTACATTTATGACCAGTGTTGGGCTAGTTACTCCAAAAATGTGATTTATTACTCGTTACTCTTTTCAAAAGTAATATTATTACATTACTTATTATTCGCTGCGAAAAGTAATTAGTTGCACTACTGGTTATATTACTTTTCCCACAAAATTACTATTTGTGTCCTTTCTCCACATAATTCAGACTTCCAGTTTCTCCCAGTATCTACACTACCTGGATAGTCCTCACATACATATATATATATATATATATATATATATATATATATATATACATGAATATTACAGTTTTACATGCACTTAAGTCTTGAAATCATTCCCTCTTTCTGTAACCTGCACAATATTATAATTCAACTTTAAATCACATCTGTATAAACATACTGTATATAGTTTGTACATACAACCCAAATTCTATTTTATTCTTGATATTGTTTATTTTTTTCTATTTTATTTTGTTATTTAATATGTATTTTCTCTGCTGTGTTACGCATCTAGAGCTGCTGTAACAAGTGAATTTCCCCCAGTGTGGTATCAATAAAGTCTATCTTATCTTATCAAAGTAATGGAACTAATTACATAATTACTGGGGAAAGTAATATAATTACTGTAATGAGTTACTGCCCAACACTGTTTATGACCATACAAATCTCTGTCCTTGTGTCTCTCTGCCGAGACGTAATTAATCTTTAGGGGAAATTTGGGTAATTGAGGATTAAAAGGTCAGCAAAATGCCCTTTTAGCCACTTGAGAAACATCCAGACTGACAAAGTGTCTCTCTCTCTCTTTCTCTCTCCGTCTTTCTCAGGAAGCCCTGGAGTCGTGTCAGACGCGAGTGTCCAAGCTGGAGCTGCAGCAGCAGCAGCAGCAGCAGACGGTCCAGCTCGAGAGCCGTGATGCCCGAGTCTTGCTGGGGAAGAGCATCAACATCATGCTGGCCATCATCACCGTCATCCTGGTGTGTGTCTCCACCGCCGCCAAGTTTGCTGCTCCACTGATGAGGAGCCGACACCATGTGGTAGCTACCTTCCTGGGAGTTTGTTTTTTGACCATATTCTGGAAGAACTGGGACCGTTTACAGTACGCCATAGACCGGTTGCTGGTGCCTGCCTGATAGAGAAGAATGCACACTTTAATCAACATTGCAGTCACGTGGACGCTGTCAGTTGTCTGGATAGGACTGTCTAAGAGGATTGGTTGTACAATCGTCAGAAGACACGATCGCTGTGCATTTACGGAGGTTACTGTTTTTTAAAGTTGGACTGAAATTAAGTTTTTGTGATTTTTTTCTTGTCTAGAACTTGAATGTGTGTTACTAACAACTTTCATTTAACCTTTAAAATAATATTTATATAACAGAAAATCTTGTTACTTCCTCAGATAGCTATTAAATCCTCTCAAGACATACCGTAAATAGTCAATTCAAGGATTAAGAAGGGTGAAGAGAAGTGCATCATCACTACAATGCAGCAAAATGGGACTCACTCTTTCCCAGTTTTGGGGGGAAAAAATCAACATATGAGGAACAATTTTTGCAAATGATTATTCCTTCTTGTTTTGCTTCAGCGTCAAACTGCACACACAAACAAAATATCAAGCTTGGTATGTTGTTGGCCACAGCTATGAAATGCTAAAGGGCAGATTTTGTTACCTTTGCACAGAGACAGGCTGACTGTTTCCTCATGTTTTTAGTCTTAATGCCAAACTAAGCTAACTGGCTACTGGTTGTAGCTTCATATTTAGCATAGAGGCAGAAGAGTGGTATCTTCTAATCTAACTCAAAGCAAAAATATATTTCTCCAAATGTTGAACTATTCCTTTAAATGAAGAATCTCCAGACTAAAGCACAGAGGCAATAGACATCCTTTTTTAATGTGTTTGTTCTCTTTATTCCTTATTGCCTTGTCTGCCCTGTGTGCTCAGCCATCTCTTACAGTTGTTCTGTTTACTGTTCCTGATGTTTAAAGTGCAATATATTTGATTTCTAAGAGCACTGTTTTTACTATGTTTCTTTTAGGAGTGATCGTCAATGTTTTACAGTGATGTGAGTGCTGTGGGGGGTGGGGTTGGGTGAGGAAATGTCATCAATGTTGGCATGAGAGATCCATAACCACTGAAGCCACTGCTGGGCTCTGATAAGACCAGCTGTCTCCTCTCTCAAGGGCCAAAAATCAATCCCACTGCATTACCGTGCTGATAGCATGGTAATATCAACACGCGCCAGCTCTCCAGTGCAAGCACACATGCATGTACACCCAAACAACACGAAAACAGAGTCAGTCACTTGGCTCTCTTTATGTCCTATGCGTCCGATGTTTGTCTTTTACTAATAATGTGATATAGAAGCGATGGCTTATACTGTGATACAAGGCCTTTTTACAAGGAAAAATGCAATTCCCTTTTTTTTAAAGAAGCAACAAACAGCCTTCAGTGCTCCAATGATGACAGAGGAACACATTACAGGCTCTATGTGATGGACTACGAGCCTATTTGTTGGACTGACTAATGTATTATTTCATGTTTGTCTTATGAACATTGCCTATGAGGATCTCACATGAAGCTACGGACCACTTTTTAATGTTTGTCTGCCATACTAACATGTTTATGTTGATGTTTGTTGTCGTCTCTCGGTTGTTCTACTGACTGTATCATGTGTTTGTTCTTGTTTTGACATATTTGAGGAAGTTTTACCTGCAGAACTACAAAACTGGTTTACATTCTCTCTTCATCTCTGGTGCATGATGTGATCAATCAGTTGTATTTTCATGCATTACGTGCCTTTGTCTGACAATTTCCTGTTAAATTAAACAAGCCTTTTTAATCAACTGGTGACTGGTGGTTGGAATTTGAGTTGGTATTTGTTGTATTTTGTCACGTGGTTGTGTTTTTCTTACATATTCCAGTATTGATATGTCCTAACAGTGTGGACGACAGTCAGCGAAAATTATTACTTATATAAAAATTACTTTTTTTCACCATTTTGCATTGATGTAAAAAAGGAAACTGAGACTCAAGCTTGTTAACTCACTGTAACTTCCTGAAGGTAATCTATTTAGGTTCACATTCACCTCCTCATTAATAAAACTTTTATCTTCTTAAAATTCCTCTGAGACATTTGCACCAGAAGAAAAAAACCCTTAGAAAAACTTAATATGCCTACAGTTTCAGAGAATTACACTCTATTACCATGAATACTGCAAATATCTGCTGTTCTCTTCTGACTAAATACTCTAACCTCCACGACCACTAGGGGGTGTAGGTGTTACACTGTTGACACAACAGAGATCAACAAAACATATTGAAGGGGCTGCAGCATCTTACACAGCCCTCATAATACCAACCAGAGCTTATGTATGTTTTATATCTAAATTATTCATTTCCATTCTGTCGAAATGAAAGCACATACACTTCACAAACATTAAGACCACAACAATACACTATATAGAGACGACACTTTCCTGTGCCATTAATATCACAAGCAGTGTGGAAGAGTAGCGCCCTCTGCTGTCCTAACAAATACACATTGAAATTACAGTTTTTTTCCACATATTTCCATATGGCATGGCTCCATAGCAGCATATCCCTTCATATTTCCATCAACATCAAATCTAGGCCACACTGTATTTCATGCTGTGAACAGGAATGGTTTCTGGAGACTTATATGTAACTGGTGTGGTTCCCATCAGGGTGTAACGGCACCCAGGATGCTGCTGATGATGAGAGAGAGATGGATTAATGGCCCTGCTGAT